AGCAGGAAAGAAGGTTAAGAGGTTAGTTTGTATCAATAAATGGTGGCGAGGACCTCATGTATGTATATATATATATTATTTATTTATTTATATATGAATGTTAAATTAATAAGCCTATCGGCCTAATATTATTTAGTTAAAATGGCTTTTACATAAGCGTATAGACCTGTTTGTGAAACAACTGCAGCCATAAATACCAAGATACACAAGCACTATTATTTGGGGAATGTGGATAGAAAAGGAGAACTACTAGCAGATTGCCCAAGATGGGCACTATCTGATGAAGCTATTACTAGATACAATCTTTCAAATTATGAATTTGATGCAGACTTTGACACTGGAGACGAAGATCCACGTAAAGATAAGAAAAGTAAAAAAAAAAGCAGGAGTAAATGAAAACATAGTAAGAGCAGAGTTTTGGGTGCCGAGCAAAGTCATACAGAAATTAGTGACGAGCAAAGTCATACAGAAATTAATGCCGAGCAAAGTCTTGAAAGCAGAGTTGCAGGTGCCAAGCAAAGTCTTGAAAGCAGAGATTCAGGTGCTGAGCAAAGTCATGCAAGCAGAGGTTTAGGTGCTCAGATACTTCGTGCGGGAATTAAAAGGAAAAGAGGTAATTATAATAGAAGCGTATTATATACAAGGAGAAGAAGAAAGAATGAAGAAGACAAAGAAGAAAAAGAAGGAAAAGAAGAAGAAGAAGAAAAAGAATCGCCCCTACCTAGCCCTAATGAAACTATTCAATCTGCTGACAAAGGAACAGCAGTACCAGCAGCAAAACTAGCAGAAACAACAACAGAAACAACAACACCTGCAGCAACACCAAAAACAGCAGCAAAAACGCCAACTAAAACAACAACGGCAAAAAAGCCGCAACTGTATCAAAAAAAGCACCAACAGATGAACAAACAGTAGAAACATCAAGAGGCAGTAGAGATCTCCCAATGGAAATCTCTTTACCAAAATCTGATGATAAGTTAGATACAACAAGAATTGGTGGCGATGCTAGTGAGGGTGATAATAATGAAAGTGAGGGTAAAAGAAGGGTGAGGGTAGAAGTAGGGAGAGTGAAAGTAGGAAGAGAAAAAGAGGAAAGGGTGGTGAAAGTAAAACAAAGAAAAAGTCAAAAAAGGGATAATTAAATGTTAATATATTAATGTTTTATTTTAATTTTTAAAATTTTATTGAAAACAATAAATTTATAAATATAAAATCAGATTATATAATGATCATATCGGTCAATGATAAATTATCGTCTAATATTTTTATAATATCGATTAGCCGATATGTTGTATATAGTATCAACTAGCTAAAACAAATCAGCCTAATATCCTCTAAAAACAACTTACTGATTATTAAGTAATTAGTAAAATAAATAATAATCATCTAAAATATCATTTAAAATAAGTAATATATTGTATAATAATATTAATATAATATTCCATAATTCACTATATCAGCAATATATTATATAAAGGATTTTCATTTAATAGCCATTACAATATCATCTCATAATTAATATAATCACTAAATAACATTATTATATTGACCAATTAATTATCAAATAACTTTATTATATTGATTAAATCAATATTTTAATTTATTAATTATCTTCCAAATTTATACAAATTTATTCTTTATATTGGTATTATATCATATAAAATAGATAAAGTTTTTTTACAAATTAGCCTTCACTATATCGGCTAATGATTTATCTAATTATTAAATTATTATTAAAAAATCTTGTTCATATCAACCTTATATCTTCTACATGATAAACAAATCATTTTAACAATATTTAAATGTTAATTTCTATATGTTTGCTGATATGTATCATATTTTCAATAATCTTCAGCATATTGGCTTATTTTAATACCCTATCATATCAGTTCATAGCTATTACAATATTATCTTGCTATTATCTAGACCGATTATTTGAAGATATAGGGAAGATATTTTTGATTTCAACCTGTGTAAATATCAGATTATAGTGAATATTTTGACCAAATTTATAATTTTTTTTAAGTTAGCCAGTCTAAATTAACTTTAGAGTTAGGGTTAGGGCTTCTGTTAAGATTAGAGTTAAAGTTTTTTTATTTTATATAAAGTACTCTATATTCAATTTATTGGCCAGAGCATAGTGACGGACATTTAGTGTTTATGCTTGGTGATACAAAAATTACATTTTTGATGCATTTAAGCCACCAGGATTTGCTTTTTTGATGCAGCCATATAAATATTATGAAGATCACATCAGAAATGTAATTTGGAAATTTTTTGTCTGTCCGCACACGTGTTCAAATTTGTAATTTAGTGCAACAAAAAATATGCATGCTTACGCATTTGTGTTATATGATAATCGTCATGTGCTCTGGCCACGCATTAACCTAGTATATAATATTCATAATGATTTAATAATTTCTGAAATTTACTATCCAGGTAAACTTTTAAAAAAATTTTATAAGTTTTTTATACAGTATATAGTTAAACCTCCCTAAATGCAAATGCATATATATGTAAAATTTCTCTAAATGCATGCTTTTTTTTGGCCCAACTTAATACATGTTTTTAAAAATTTTTAAGTTAAAACCGGGTTGCCGGGTCATTTTTAAAATTTTATGTTATAAAAACCAAAAAATTAACTTTATATAGCCTTATCTTGTATTAAATTTTTTTTTAATACAGTTTTGTGTAAATTTGCAAAAATAAAATAATAAATAAAATCTATACAAAACTTCAGATTTACTATAAAAATTAGATAATTCTGTACAAAACTTCAAATTTGCAATAAACTTATTTAACTTTCTAATATGCAGTATTTATATTATAATTTTAGTAAAAATTAAGGTTTTTTTTTAAAAAAAAATTTTTTATCTTAATAAAAATTAAATTTTTTTTACTGTTTAACATGGTATATAACTGTTTAATTTAGCCGGAATTTGACCCATGAGCAACATAATTCAGCCTGGAATAGAGTTAATACTTCAATCCGGATATAAATATAAAAACATAGTGGAGTATTAACTCTAGCGGTTCCAATCTTTAAATATAAAATTTTTTTGATTATATAAAATAAATAATAAAAATATACTGTATATATTATCAAGTAAACTAGGTAACTATTATAAAAAATAAATTATAACAAAGTTACTTTGAGACTTAATATCGATCTGTTCTAAATTCAGGATCATGATCCTCAGTTGTAAATCTCGAAGCTATATATCAACATAAAGCCTCTTGAGTTTTTTATGATACATAGCGATAGTATATCGAATACCCCAATGCCACATGGCATACAGTGACAGATTTCTCTTGGTAGCACCATGCAAAGATAGAAAAAAAAAAAGGTATATTTTTATAAATGGACTTTTTTTAATGTAATGATTTCAATTAAGAACTTTATATAAAAACATTACACCTGATTGATCACGTTATATATGATTATATTCTTATTAATAATACATTATGTGGTTACATAACTGCAAATAAATTATGACTCAACCAAATATCAATGATTAAACTAGTGCACAACAAATATTTAAGTGAAGTCTTAGCATTAATTTTATTACTCAAGTAATTGTCTAAATCTTTCATGAATTTCCGTGTGAAGCTTTTGATAACGTTCACGAAGAACTTCTTCACCATCTGCAGGATCCTTAAATATAAAAGGTACATATTAATTTACAATATAATGTACAAAAAATTTAAAGATGATAAACATACTTCGAATTTCATAGAGCTAAGTTTGTACAAAAGGTCATCCATCCTTTCTTTGATCTTCGCCCATGTTATTTCACCATTTGTGACCTCGACAGCATGAGTAGACGAATTATAGAATCCAATCATGTTTTTAAGCAACCAATTGGTCTAGTGTAAAATTTATATGTTAATTTATTACTTATCATTAAACTGCATGAAATATAGTAATACAACCAATCATACACCTTATAAAATGGGCAGTTGCGATCGTATGAAGAGTATCCGTTCTGTTGTAAAAAATCATCTTTAATGATCTTAGCAATTTCTAATGTAATTTTGTCTGCTTCTCCCAGTGCGCTCTAATAAATAAATAAAAAATGATTCATTATGCGAATATTAAATGGATTAAAAGAATATGAATGCTACACAAACCTTTCCAACAAGCTGGACAATTTCTGAAAGATCTTCTTCCTTTTGAAGAATTTCTTTGGTTCTGTCTCTTAAAGAAATAAATTCAGGTTCTGTGCTTTCGTAGTAACTTTCTAAAACCTTGAGATATTTTGAATAACTCAAAGACCAATTTACAGATGGAAAATGTTTGCGCTGAGCAAGTTTCTTATCTAAACCCCAAAACACTTGAACAATACCAAGCGTTGCTGTAGTAACAGGATCTGAAAAATCTCCACCCGGCGGTGAGACACTAGTATATTCGAATAATAAATAACATTAGTGTAATATGTATATATATAATCATACACACTGTGTGGATTCAAGAATGATACGTACGCTCCTACAACGGTGACACTTCCTTCTCGTTTGGGATTTCCAAGGCATGTAGCTTTTCCAGCACGTTCATAGAAAGATGCTAACCGAGCGCCCAGGTATGCAGGATAACCACTATCTAATTTATAAGAATTCATAATTAAAGATATTGTGGTTAAAGAAATCATTTTATAATAATAATAATAATAATAATATCATCTTTTACCTGCTGGCATTTCGGCTAAACGACCAGATATTTCTCGAAGGGCCTCAGCCCAACGAGAAGTTGAGTCTGCTATCATAGAAACATGCTTGCCCTGATCACGGAAATATTCCGAGAGTGTAATACCTAGGATGAATAAAAAAAAAAACCATACAATTTTAAATGATACAATTCAATATCAACTCAATAAAAATTACAAACCAGTATAAATAGACGCTTCACGAGCGGCCACTGGCATATTTGAAGTGTTAGCCACCAATGTGGTACGTTGCATTATAGATTCTTGACGGCCATTTATATTTATTGAAAGCTAAAATGATTATAATATTCCCTATAACTATTTGATAAAATGTATAATAGCACAACAAACAAAGGATAATTTCTTACTTCTGGAAAATCCATCAATACTTCAGCCATTTCATTGCCCCTTTCACCTAAAATAAATTTGCAATATAGGATAAAAATTAATATTAACCATCTCCATAATAAAAATAATAATCAATTAGCTACTTACCACATCCGACATATATGATGACATCGGAATTAGAATATTTTGATAAAGATTGAGAAATTACAGTTTTCCCGCACCCAAAAGCACCAGGGATAGCAGTAGTACCACCTTGCACACACCTATAATAACAACAGTTAGTATAATATTTTATACGCCTAAAAGTGAAATGACAATCTTAAATTTAGATTTGGGATTAGCAATAAACCTTACGGGAACAACGAATCCAAAACTCGCTGACCGGTAAGTAAGGGGAAATTAGCAGTTAGTTTTTCGGTAACCGGGCGAGGTGATCGAACAGGCCAAAGCTGCATCATTGAATGTTTAGACTTTTGACCTTCAAATTCAGTTTCAAGCACAATGTCCTATTTATTATATATAATTGAGTCTTTCCTAAAATACAAAAGATTAATGAGAGGAACGTATATTTTTAGGTATACCTCTAAACTGTAAGATCCCTTTTCTGCGATATGCGTAATGGTACCAAGAGATTTGGGTGGCAACATAATGTAGTGATCGTTCACTAAAGAATTTTCATAAACTTTGCCGTAGATATCACCACCAGTAATGTGATCTCCAATCTATATGTTAAAATAATGTTAAAACATTGAAATATCATCAATAGATTACAAAACAATTTACCTTAAAGTTAGAAGGTTCAAAATCCCACTGCAACTTTTTATCCAATGCAGGAGTGGCAATTCCACGTGGAATGTAAATACTATTAGAAATTTCACGAATTCCCTTTAATCACACAAAGTAATCAATAAATAAGATATAAATTAAATTAATGACATAATAATCAGATTATTATTTTACCCTTAGTGGTCGTTGAATCCCATCGTATATATTGGACATCAAACCTAAATAATAAATATAATCTGAGTTATTGTCGAAACAGGAAAATATTTATTTAAATAGAGAATCATACCAGGTCCTAATTCAACGGAAAGAGGTTTTCCGGTTTTTAATACAGGATCACCTACAGTTAAACCGGCTAATAAACGCAAATGGTTAGAATCGTATAAATAATTTGCAAATTTTGTAGTTTTGGTGATGATTGCATACAAGTTTCTTCATAAACTTGAATAGTTGCTTTATCGCCATCTATACGAATGACTTCTCCGACAAGCTCCTCATGACCAACCCGGACCTTTACACATTATAAAATATTTTACTATCAAGCTATTTATTAAAAAAAACCAATTCAATATCAATAAATAACATACCAGCTCATACATAGCAGTTCCCGTCATTTGTTCTGCGGTCACGACTAAAGCCCAAAAAATTCTACATTGTAAACACTGCTACGTAAAACACATGAAGCCATTATTACAGACAAAGAAGTTGTTTTATACCTGGACCAGAGACGGCAAATACGTATCCATAATCACTCTCCTTTTCAGAATCTTTAAATTTTGGTAAAGTTTCCTTCGCTCTACTTAATGCGCCAGCCTAATAATGATATACGTTAATTTATCGTTATTTTACTGAAGTTACTTTACAAAATCTTAAAATTTCGCATATACCATATTATAGCAACGAAGAGTTGTAATGTCTAATAGGAGACTTATGTAATCGATCACATATAAACGTGATTATCATATCGGATATCGGATCTATAGATATCTATAGATTCAAATACATGTTCGTGTAACGGTTATATACATATATAGGGGATGGTTAAAGCCATGTACCCACGTGATTTTTAGAGTTTTAATTAGAATTAGAGATGGTTTGGCGGTTAGGGAAAGGACAAACTTATAGGTAAAATTGTCTCCCCGACATTTTTGTTAGTGCTTCAAGACAGGTTTAGACTGCCCTTTTCATAGTTTTACATTTCTTTATTTTTTAACTTCTTCGGGATGATCCGTGTAAACAAAATTTTACGATCCCGGATGGTTGATTTACACAAAAAAGTCACATGGGTACATATTAAAGGTTTGATCCGGTCGAAAAATAAGTATTCGAATATTCATTCGTTCAATCTTTTTTAATATCCGAATATTCATCAGCAAATTTCAAACGAATATTCGAATACAGTATTCACTAAATATTCATTGAATATTGTGATAATAAAATAGAGTTGTTGATTCGGAACAATAATGAATAACAGTACAGTCCTGCAGTAAGACAATATTATGAAGTTGAACAATCAAGAGTTTAAATACAAAATGAATTTTTATACTTACAAGCTACATTAAATTGGCTAACCAATCAGTATATATATCAGTCACGCGCAGGGATGCAGGTGGTAATTTACCATGGTAAAATACCAAAGATGTGGTAAATTTACCTTTATATACTTAAGGTTGAGTTTGTCTATGGGAAATTTAATCTTCAAATCACATGATTTTATATTACTAAGAATAACTAATGGTAAATTTACCAGTAATTTACCAAACAGCCTGGTAAATTTACCAAAAAATTTTAAAAATTACGGTAAACCAACAACCCTGGTCACGCGTATAGATGGCGGTGAAATTCATTTTTACTTTTTTTAATTTCAACAATAATTTCAACATTTTTAATAAATACTATTGTATTTGACTTAGCTTAGTCTTTATTAATTTTTGATATAATTTAATTTAATTATTAATATTAAAAAACTAATTTCACTAATTTCAACAATTTCGACAAAAACTTTTCATTAAGAAGGGTAATTTCACCGCCATCTATAGTCACGCGATTTGTCACGTTATATCAGATATGGCGTAACAACATTTTCTGTGCCAGATTATGTAAGTTATCGATCATAGACAGCAACCTGACGCTTTTACCCAAACCCCCATAGAAATTTAAATTTTTTGAAAACTTCACTTAAAGTCATTGAATTTGGTTAGGTGAGATATCTTCGTTCAAAGTTTTGAAACGCTCGTCAAAATAATAGCTACGACAAAGTTTTTTAAAAACTTTTTTGAATGAAGATATCTAGCAACTACTTAAACAAATCCGATGAGCTTTTTTATTTTGATTCTAATGAAATTTTGAATCAAAATAAAAAAAGTTTAATGGATTTAGTTAGATAGTTGCTGAGATATCTTCGCTCAAACCTTTGAAAAAAAATTTCAAAACGCCTGTCAAAATAATAGCTGTTGCAAATTTTTTGTAAAACTTTGAACGAAGATATTTCAGCACCACCTAACCAAATTCGATGAACCTTTTATTTATTTTGATTCTACAAAAAAGTAGAATCAAAATAAAAAAAAGCTCATTTAATTTGATTAGGTGGTTGCTGCAATATCTTCGTTCAAAAATTCAAACCACCAAAATAATAGCTACGGCAAAATTTTTTAAAAACTTTGATAGGAGATATCTCGGTAACTACCTAAGCAAATTCGATGAACTTTTTTTATTTTGATACTACAAGAATGTAGGACTAAAATAAAAAAATTCCATCAAATTTGGTTAAGTGGTTTCCGAGAAATCTTCAAAGTTTTATAGAAATTTTGTGAATTATTTTGAATTTTTTTCAAAACTTTGAACGAAGATATCTCAGCAACCACTTAAACAAATTCAATGAATTTTATTATTATTATTATTATTATTATTTGATTCTACATTCTCGTAGAATCAAAATAAAAAAAAGTTTATTGAATTTGGTTAGATGGTTGTCGGGATACCTTAGTTCAAAGGTTTACAAAAATTTTGCAACAGCTATTATTTTGACAGGCGTTTTGAATTTTTTTCAAAGCTCTGAACGAAGATATCTCAGCAACTATCTAACTAAATCTGATGACCTTTTTTTTATTTTGATTCTACCCAATTGACAATTTTACATTTTTGAATTTATCCCCCAAAACCCTTAGCCAAAAAATATAGTGTTCTTTAAGACAAAGTTGTTCTCAAGTTTTATGAGTTCAACAGCATGCTTTATAAAATTATCAGTTGCACTAGTAATAAGAGCAACCTTATAAACAAACTAAACAATTTATTTGTGCATTACAGCATATTCATAGTTTTTCTAAAGTTAATTATTATCGATCTCTTTTAAGACTTCATCAATAGTGATGTAATAGAATCGTCCCAATGATTGCTGTATAGTGTAGTAATATAGTAAGTTACGGCTATAATGCCATTTTACTATAGTTACAGCAAGTTACGGCAGGTTCGACAATCATCGGGACGATTCTACTGCATCACTACTCGTCAACGACAATTGATGCTTCAAAATTCATATTTCTGCAACCATAAGTTTAGGTTGTGGTTTAAAACTACAGTATGACTAGGTAATGCGTAGCAATGTATTCAACAATCAGATTCACGGAAGCGGACAGACAGAATTCTCACGTGATAAAAATGATCACTTGCTGTCGTAAAGACATATTGTCCTCCGCTTTGCTCCGGGCAATTAGTACGATTTCATGTTATATCTTCGATATTAGGCTTAGTTTCAGAAGCCATAAATATACCCGAATTCGCTGAAACAAAAAAAGTAATGGAATTATTTAATTGTCCGGAGCGAAAAGAACTATTTTGCAGCAAATGATCATCAAGATCACATGAAGAAGTCTGTCTGTCCGCTTCCGTGATGCTGATTGGTTGAATACATGTCATTCATATAATATGCTTTTGTAGCATTTACTAATTCCCCCAGGTTTCTGATTGGCTGGGATTATTCGTGCCAATTTACATGTCACATTCCGATTAAAATGTGACACCTCAGTTAGGGTTTGGGAATCATTCAGCTAATTTTTACCAGGTGCCCCAGGAATTACGAAAACAGCTGTAATAGCTGTAATGAATTTATTTTTATCGGGTATTGTTGGGCCACCCCGGGCTTGCTTAAAAAACCCAACCAGGCCCGGCCTAGTAATTAGCGAGCCCAACCAAGCCCGGCCCATAAAAATATGAGCCCGGACCCTACCAACAGCTCATTTCACCGACAAAGTAATTTTGCTTATTGTCGTTAGTGTCAGGTTAGAATTAGAGTTAAGGCTAGCGTAATTTATAAAAAATACTTGTCGGTGAAATGAGCTGTCAGTGAAATAATTTTCGGTGAAATGAACTTGTCGATAAGTTAATTGTTGGTGAAATGAGTGATTGTCGATGTATCCAGACTAACACGGAAGAAAAGAGGTAAGGCAACTCGCTAGAGGTGACTGTGATGATTTGGTCATTAATTAAAGGGAGTAATCATATGGTATGTTAGTATTCTTATGTGCCCCTACCTCGCACATAAGTGTCGTAACCAACCACACTTAAGTTACGTCCTTTAAATAATTTTTGCAGACCAATAGAGGGGCTTACTATCTGCGCTTATTATAAACCTCCCATATATTGTTGACTTACTCTCAGTAACTCATCTTTCATCAATCTTAAGCTGACAAATCTAAACATACGTTTGCTTCTTGAGGCGCGGTTTGTTACGTTTTCGAAAATGTCACTTTTAGCCCGTGACATTTTAAACGCGAACTGCTAATTTAAATATGTATTATTTTGATATTAAATAAATACCCTTTAACTGCTAATTTATCAAAAAACTTCATTTGATGAAAAAAAATTCATGTACCTTACTTACTCTTTAATAGGTTCGTTATGCTCTTTATTTTCACCGACTATGTGAAAGCAAAGTTCCAATGACTATTTATACATGCGAAGACGAAGTTCCATGGATAGCTTAGCTAACAGCATAACTATGCGAAGACGAAGTTCCATAGTAGCCGTTGTAATAGCTATCTATACCATGCGAAGACGAAGTTCCATGGATAGCTTAGCTAACGGCATAACTATGCGAAGACGAAGTTCCATAGTAGCCGTTGTAATAATAGCACCACTTTCTCAATATACTCATACGTTTTTAAGCCACGCCTAATTTAGAAATGTCGTCATGTAACGAGGCCCAAGAAGATAAAGAAAGTAAGTCTAATTAAGAGCGGCAAACACTTAGTTCAATACCCAGTTTCTATCATGAGATCGAAAATTACATTATATCCAACCTACATGAAAAAAACTATACAGTAATGTATAATACCAAATTTTTTAAAAAAAATAATACTAACATTCTTACCTACAGTAACAAATCAGGTTTGGTGGGTATTATGAACGTTAGTGGCCAAGATAGGTTTATGCTTCTGTTCCTGCAGTTTTTTCTTTTTTTCATGGTTTGATTGTCACGAATATGTTGCACTGTATACGATACATATCGTTAATACATATTATTATCCTCATGACCGGTGATGATAATCCGCAAATTACCTATCAATACACTTGGCTTGACGTCTATTTGGTCCGGAGATACTAATACAAAATGAAATGAAATTCGTAGTCGCACGTAAATTCTAAGCACGAAATATTACCGAAACTGGTGAAGCTACCTTGTTATACGGGAAGATAAAATCCAAAGCAAATTCCTAAAAAAATTTGAGTTAAAAAGAACTTAAGTAATTTCATGGTTGTGTGTAAATTCTGTACACGAAATAATATTTCCAAAACTGATGAAGCTACCTCTATACGAAGAAACCAAAATGTAATGGAATTCGTAGTCGCATATAAATTTTAAGCACGAAATAATATTACCAAAACTGGTGAAGCTACCTTGTTATATGAGAAGGTAAAATTCAAAGCAAATTCCTAAAAAAATTTGAGTTAAAAAAGAACTTAAGTAATTTCGTGGTTGTGAGTAAATTCTGAACACGAAATAAAAACTGGTGAAGCTACCTCTCTATACGAATAAATCAAAATGTAATGGAATTCGTAGTTATACGAGAAGGTAAAATTCAAAGCAAATTCCTAAAAAAATCCGAGTTAAAAAAAAACTTAAGTAATTTCATGGTTGTGTGTAAATTCTGAACACGAAATAATATTGCCAAAACTGGTGAAGCTACCTCTCTATACGAAGAAACCAAAATGTAATGGAATTCGTAGTCGCATGTAAATTCTAAGCACGAAATAATATTACCAAAACTGGTGAAGCTACCTTGTTATACGAGTCCAAAGCAAATAAATTTGAGTTAAAAAGAACTTAATAATTTCATGGCTGCGTGTAAATTCTGAACGCGAAATAATATTGCCAAAAATGATGAAGCCACCTCTCCAAACGAAGAAACCAAAAAATATTCCTAAAAAATTTGAGTTCACGCGAAAAAGGATGAAAAAAAGAACTTAGTATGAAAATTTAAAGTCTTGCATAAATTCTGAAACATGAAATAATATTACCAAAGCTGGTGAAGCTGCCTCACTATATGAGAAACGTAAATCTAAAACAACATGCAGTTGTATGCAAATTCTGAACACGAAATAATATTGCCAAGACTGACGAAGCTGCCTCGCTATATGAAAAAATGTAAAACCCAAAACAAATTACTATAAAATTTGAGTTCACGCGAAAATGAATGATATGAAAGTTCATAGTCACGTGTAAATTCTGAACACGACATGATATTGCCAAACCTGGTGAAACTACTTCGTTATACGAAGATATGTAAAATTTCTAAAAAAATTTGTTAAAAAGTACTTTAGTATGAATTCATAGTCGTGTATAATTCTAAACACGAAATAATAATGCAAAAATTGGTGAAGCTATCTCGCTATATTTACATGAAAAAGAACCTTAGTATAAATAAACTTGATAAGATGTCCAAGAAAAAAAATTTGTTTAGTTATTTTTAAGTTCTGTTGCAGAATAAAAAGTTAAAGAAAGAGATTAATTATGATCTTTTTCATTATATATACCGGTAAACGTTGAGGATCTGCAACATGCAAAAGCACGTACGTACGTCAGAGACACGGAAAAATTGTTTTTATTATTCACAAAAATTTATTTTGAAAATCTGGGATAAATTTTGATAAAAATTTTACTAATATAAAATATAAATTTATTGCATTTATTGTAAAAAAATCAATTCAAATTATTGAAATACATCATATTCAACTTTTTAAGAGATTCTGTACTTAAATTTTGTCTCTTATTACTAAGA